TGTACACACACACACACACACACACACACACACACATATATATATATATATATATATATATATGTTACGCTATTAAGTTAAATTAAATTACAAGTAAATATTTTAAATTACATATAAACAAAAAATATATATTATACTAATAATATAATACATATATTTATATTCTTAATATGATAGTTAATATAATATAATATAATATAAAATCCCTGTTTATGCTTTTTGAAAACAACCTAAAATATTTTTCAAATCCTTCATAGAAACATGTTAAATCAAAGCCAGCCTTCATTATTTTAATGATTTAATTCACTGTTTTAATGAAATTATTTTTAATGAAATAGATTATTTCACCAATTTGTGACTTCCATAAAAAAAAGCAGTTGTTACCTGACCATCCTAAACATCTGCTGGAGATTTCTTCTGAAGGCTTGTTCGCTGGAGACACTAAATGGGCGATTTCTATAAATCTGCTCTGAAACAATGTCTAAGTGAGTATTATACAAAATAAATTGACTTGAATTACTCTATGGAGTTATTTCGAGCCGTTCTGGCCCTTATCGTATGCATTTATTCAAAATAATTTCCCCATCTCTGAGCAGATGGATGTGTCCAGTCAGGTGCAGCAGAGGTCTGTCAGGTGTGGCTGCATTAACACCACTAATCTAATAGAGTTAACAGCCTTAGATAGACTGACTATCCACTGCACACGCTCAGACCCAACAACACTGCATCTACAACTCCAGAAACAATACTGTTAAATATATAAGCTACACTACACAATACATTAAGACATAAGAAAGAAGTCGTACATGTGTGGGTATTATCCACCCTCCTGATAATGCTTAGCGTTTCCAGCTCATCCATCTAAGAGCGGTATTAGTCAGCGCTTTATTCATCTGGGGTAGGAAGGACAAGTGGATTAGGCCTTCTCCTGAGTTTATTGCCTCTGAGGATATCATTATTACAAGAGTATTATTCTAATTTTCTGTTTAATGCTTTAGAAAAGTTTTGAGATGACGCTAATGCACAAAGTCTATCTGGGAGGGAGTCATTTGCAGTATTTTAAGTTTTAAACCTAGTTGTTGTTTTTTTTAAGTAATGGTTCACCCAAATATGAACATTTGCTGAAATGTTACGCACCCTCAGGTTATCCCGAGATGTAGATGAGTTTGTTTCTTCATCAAAACAGATTTGGAGATTTGGCATTACATCTTGCTCACCAATGGATCCTCTGCAGTGAATGGGTACCGTCAGAATGAGAGTTCAAACAGCTGATAAAAACATCACAATAATCCACACCACTCCAGTCCATTTTCTGAAGTAAAAGGCTGTGTGTTTGTAGTAAACAAATCCATCAAGATGTTTTGTAAATTCAAACGTTCAAAACACTTAAAAAAACATTCAAAAACTTCAAAAACAGATATGTGGGTGGATTTAGATGTGAGATGACAACAGAAGATGGACTTTTTCACTGAAGTAATGTGGATTACTTGTGGATTGTGATGTTTTTATCAGCTGTTTGGACTCTCATTCTGACGGCACCCATTCACTGCAGAGGATCCATTGGTGAGCAATTCATGTAAAGCTAAATTTCTCCAAATCTGAAACAAACTCATCTATATCTCAGATGGGCTGATGGTAAATTTTCAGCAAAATTTCATTTTTCATTGAACTATACCTTGCATGACTTTGAGCAGACAGCGAAGGAAAAGCATCAGGTGTCCAGCGTTCATGTGAACTCCTTCAGACCTGTCTGAAAGCATCCCAGCATGCACCTCAGGATGCTGGCTGAAGAATGTCAGAGTGAGCAGAGCTGGAGTCTAGGAAAAGGCTCTAATATAAGAGTTTTTAATGTGTGAAACATAGTTTTGATCATTACACCATTCACACATACTGTACTTCCATTCGTGTAATTTCAGAGTTTGAATTAATTGCATGTGTAGGTGTCAAACTCTGACTGCCAGTGTAATTGAGTTGCCCTTTTTAACAACTGATGGCACAAAAGATTCTATTTTTATGTTAAATGATTTTAACTAGGTCAAAGGATAATAAATGATTGTTGAATTAAAGTCATTGTTCACAGTCTCCATGGTAACAAAGCAGCCATACACTGCCATGCTTAGTTCGGTTTTCTTCTTCTTTTAAAGGAACAGTTCACCACAAAAGTCTAAATCTGTCATCATGACTTTTTATCTGGTTGACATTTTAATAATGTACTGGTCACTCTTTCCCATGCAATTACAATCAATTTTGGACTGGAGTTGTGAAGCTTCGAATAAAGTAAAAATAACCCATATGACTCGTGGACTATATTCAAGTTGGTTATAATCAATATTGCATGATGGCTTTGAAGAAGACAAGACAGAAATAAAAAATGTAATTCTTAGAAAAGGTGGAATCTGCTCTAGTTTTTCATGCAACATTAATAAAAGCAGCAATGTCTGATCTGTGAACAAATCATCCATTTGACACAAATCTATGACTTCAGATGAGTGTTATATTGCCACTGAGATACTATTATAGTTTTCCATTTTAGTTAATAGTTTATAATATTTACGTTTTTTTGAGTTTTTATTTTTATATTTTGTTTTCGCTTTTAGTTAAAATTTTTTGATGTTTTTTAATGTCTATATAGTCTTGTTAAATTTGAAATAATCATTAATAATTTATATTTTAATTTTATATTTTGCTTTCATTTTAATTTTAGTTGTCTTATTATTATTATTTAGTTTGACTTATTTTAGTACACCAAGTTAAACTAAATAAAAATAAGAAAAGTTGCCTTGGCAATTAGATGAAATAAAATAAGCTTTTTTTCTTTTAATAACTGATTTTATTTCAGTTTTCAGTTAATGTTTTTTTATTTATTTATTTATTTATTTGTTATAGTTTACTATAATAACCCTGCAGAAGACTATATTGGTGCAAGGTTTGGAGTGTGGACAACTTTTCTGATACCTCTGAATCCTTTTGAAGCATGAAACTCCTGTAGTGCATTTGAAAAATGACCAGGACATTTATATAAAATTGACATGAAAACTGACATGAGGATGAGTAAATAGTTATACAGTTTCATCTTGCGCCTGAACTATTTCTTTAAAGTTTTTTAAATAAAACTCAGTCTGAGATGCCTGGGTAGGAAAGGTGAGCTCCATCCTTCTCTCTGTATCGTCTGACAGCATCTCTGTGGAAGATGGGCTTTGCTCAATGATTCATGTGCTCTTGGAGGTTTTATAAAAGCACAAAGACAGATAGATGCATCATATTTATCCAGCAAGACAAGTGTGTGCGAGATGAGAGTAACTAATTTTAAACACAAATGGAAGCTGAAGAGTGAAGAGTTTCTCTTTGGCTTTTTCCACTCGTGTCGGCAGATTAGCTCACACCCTGCAGAGACGAGAGGCCAAAGGATTTCACAGCATTAAACCATTTGCTACAGTATATAGCCTACATATGAGAGAGCTTAGTAATTGAGATAAATGATCTAGTGACAGTTTCAGACATCTACAGCAGATGGACTGCTGGCTGTATGAACACACTTATTTCAGATGTTCGTGAGCGAGCCCTGAGAAGTATATAAAGAAATAATACAAGCATCATATTTAAGGTGAAAACGGGATACATTCACATCAGTGAGAAACCATAGAAAATTCAAACCAAGAGCTTGTGAGACATGTTCTGCTCTTCCAGAATTCATTAATTTTTAAAAGGAAATGTATTTCACTCTGACACGATAGTTTTATATCTAAATGTACTGTAGGTTTCGTTGGACCTTTAGGTAATTTATGTGTTAATGGATCACGCGATACAAACAGATGCTGTAAACAATGCTGAAAATATGCTAAATAAAACTATTACATTTTAAAATTCCAATCAGAATTTTTTTTAACGCATAATATCATGAAATTAATTTTTTTCTTAGATTTTTTTTTTCAAAAGAATCAAACGAGTTCACATACCGCTTGATTATGACCCTTCTCCCTTTAACATCCTGCTGGTGCTGATGAGTGTATTTTGAGGTCTTCAAGCTGCTGCTGCTGTAAAAGAGCGCTGAGTGTTCCAGCTTCCATCAGTCTAACACTTCTCCCTAAGGCCACTGTACAGCAAGAGCTATTGATTTACAACAGTCTTACGGGTTTGCTTAAACACTACACCTTGAAATTCTCACTGTGATTGATGCTAAGGGATTCCAGTTAAAGGTCAATAACAGCAGAAGTGCAGTTGACTAGCAGTTCATGTGATCATGAGTCAGTTCAGAAGGCTCTCGCTGAGGCTCAGAAGAGGAAGGTTATGCTTGATGAAAAGTGTTTTTGAGTAAAACACTACACTGTACTGCTGTGCTAAAAAATAAAAATAGCCTCAATGCACTAAAGTGCAAACTCTCAACACAACCAGACAAGCAATTTTGAGGAAATATAAACAGCATGCAGG